CAACAACTGACTGGTGAGGTGACCCAGTCCAGAGATCTAATTGATCAAATGGCTCAGAATTTTGGAAGTAATTCATATGCCGACCTTCCACTAACTGCTAGAAGTTTCACATTGGTTGTTTGGAGTGTGAGCCTGTGTGTATGTGTGTGTGTACCTATTGTAACTCTGCGGCTTGCAGCTCACCCTCATTTACCAGACAAAATCATCATCGCTCTGAATCATTTGGAGGGAAGAATCCATGTCATAACATAATTAGCAACTAGGCAGCTAACCAGTATTTACACACCAAGCTAATTCAAAACATAGAAGCACTGCTTCCAGTTAACACAATATACAGTTTGTGAGGATACAGCTAGAACTGCCCTATTTTAAAAATATTTTTGCATGCCTAAAATAGCATTTGGGTTCGATGAGCCTCTGCAGGTTCCATGCGGATATGGGAAGTCATCCTCGACTTTCCATGTAACCTTCCCTGGCACGGCTCAATCCGGCACCCATTTCGCTATGCTGACTAAGCGGGATCGATAGATCAGTGGATGAAACAGCTTGACAAGTTTGTGCAAAAATGTTCCAACTTCAGGACAAGGTGGGGGGTTGGGGGCATTTACGCCCTTGGGTGGTGCGAGATTAAGTTTCAGGCCCATTCCTGTCTGGAGGCTTACAGCTTGTACATTTGTACTGTTGGGCAGTAATAATTACAGCTTGGGTGAGACCGACAAAATACCAAAGAATGGCTGTAAGAACAACAACAACAACAACAATAACCACTCGGGCCGCATAGCGGAGCTGGCGAATTGAAACGCGGGGCTGAGTCGCGGTGTCCGAGTCACGGGGCCCGAGGCCCTTGGAGTGATGTATACGGTCTCTGGGCGGCAAGACGGGCTCCAGCCTGCCGCTTTATAATCAAAGCTCCTGCCGGCCCCCAGACTGCCGCAGGCTATGAGGCTTCCACAGTAACCAGTCAGATCCTGGGTAACCATTTCCCACTCTCCTGCCTTTCAGCTGCCTCTGGACCGATCAGTGGTGACTCGGCGCTGTCATGGGCAGTAACGCTCCCCGGTCTGCAGTTAGGGCAATTATTGTGGGGGGCTCGCATGCACACCGATGGGATGCAAATGCAGTTATCCTGCCCCTCGAACTGATAATGAGTCTTCGGCTTACACCAATTTTAATAAGGGACATTTAACACCCCCCCTCCCCCCTCGGCTGTAATTAGAGATTGGTTATGTTGATGCACCCAGAAGTTCTGACTGCTCCAACATGAACGTGTTTGTGAAGAGAGTAGGCGGCACGCTGTTTTGGCTCAGTGTCTACTGGATGGAAGCAGCCCTGGGTGTCAGACTGATCTGGGTGCTGTTGTTGATCTCCATTTAGAGCCTCTTAGACTGGCTCGTAAAGGAGGAGGTGGAATGTTCTGAACAGCAGGACGCAAGACTGACGTGACATTTTTATGGTCTCTGGCCAAGTTTGATTAGTCGTGTGGAGAAATATGAACTTCTGTCCTAAAACCTTGCTTGGATTCTACTTTTAGCTCCATGATATGTACTGTTTTGTACAGAAAGAAAAACAGGAATGCATGTGGGCCAGTAATTAATATTCTAACGTATTCTAAGTCTGTTTGCTGCCGGCACTTAATTTTTATGCAGGGATGTTTCTTACTTCAGTGATTCCAGCTGCCATTCTATGTTGTTTTGTCAGGCTTTCATCACAAAGGGTGTCCCATGTGACATAAAATACCCAAGAGGCTGTTAATGGACACATGGAGTAGAACCTCATCTCTATGGGACTCCAGAGGTGCTGGATAAAAAAGTGGGATCAGGTGTGGAAAGGTACTGGGAAATCTGTCTCTATTTCAGTTATTTATCTTGGCGCTTTCATTTGGGAAAAGCGAGCAGCTCTCTTTCCAGAAAAAAATATGTAGATCCAATTTCCAATGTAGATTTAGTTACTGGGGCTCAAAACTGGGTCAGTTTTCATGCCGATGCCATCTTGTACAATACTGCATGTACTAGAAGCTGAACCTCAGCTGTTTGACAGGGTTTGCAGGGCTAAGGCTGCAGACGATCGGTATCTTTTTGACGGCTTGTTGTCCTGGCCTCCCCCTCTCCCTCTCTCCCCCTCCCTCTCCCTCATTGGCTGGCAAACCCCAAAAGCTCTCTTAAACCTTGTCAGTAATTTGGATCCAGCTGGGTGCCATTTGGCCTCTGAGATGCAGCAAATGCTACGATTCCTGTCCCCCCCCCCTGTTGGGACTGAAGACAGACGTCAGCACCAGATCCCAAAAAACCTGCAAGCCCATATCAGCATATCAGTCAAGGAGCATCTTTGAATAGGTCAACCATATTTCCTATTATATGCAGCATTCCTAATACACCCAAACCTCCATAATACCTAGGATTTGGCTTTCTACGAAGAATCTATTATTCTGTGTATTAAACCTTGTTGGCTAAGAACAGCAGATGAACTTATAAAGAAACATAGATCTTTAATACACATTTTATATGAAGTGCATAAATCATATCTGTGGTGGCTCAATTTTTCTTGAACAAATGATGTTAGTCTTGCATATTTTAAAAATGGAATGGATACATACTTTGGAAATGATCTTATTTTCCTCTGTATTATCTGACAGCTGAATCTGTGTTCTTTCCAGTGTGTCATGTGACTCCACCCCCCTCCAAACAGCTCGGAGTCTCAGTTGCCTTAGTGAAAGGCTTTGAGGTGATTAATCCCCAGGGTGTGACCTCATCCCACAGCACCCCGCAGCCTCACCCCCCCCCCCATTCACCACTGATACATCATCCGCCCTGCTTACCGCACTGCCTCCTGGGAACTCTGTGACACCAATGGCGTTGGCACCAGTAGATGAATACAACATACCATTTAAAGTCATGGTAATATGCAAGATGGTGAATTATTTAAAAACACAAAAGATGTGGGTATCATGACCTATTGAATCTTACTGTCTTTTCAAGCATAAGAAAGCTGCAAGGTGACATATAATCTTCTGTAAAATAAGTGGAACCTGCTAATCTCTGTCACAGGTCCTTCCGGAGTTCTTCCTTGCTCCGCTAAACACAGGAAGGATAAAGATCTCTTGTGCCTCGTTTCCACTAATGTGATGCCGGACTTTTTCCAAATCCAGAACGGGTGCTCCGTGTTTCCACCGCAAAAAAACTGGCCCTGGGCCAGAAAATCGGTTCCAGCACAGCATCACAAAAATGCTGGTCTCAGAATTTGCAACCCTAATGTCAGCGAAAGTAAAGTGGTCAAACAGCAAGAGAGAATAAACTCACTTACACACACAGACAGTGGAGTCTTTACCACACTCGGAAAACAGCAGCTTAGAAAAATTTACAATCTGAAACAGATCAAAACAAATCTAAAAAACGGAATACATATGAACCTGTACTTTACTCTCACTTCCGCCTGTGTAAAATTTCTATTCCATTCTTTTTTGAAACCAGTGGAAACGCAGGCAGGTTCTCAAAATGCACTAAGCGAGCCCAGCACCAGCACCAGCTCCGTGATGGTGGAAACAAGGCATTAAACCTCACTGCAGTCATTTTGTCTGATGGAGGACCAACAGGGAGCTGCTTTCTTGTTCAGATTTACTATCAACTCTGCACACTGAAATTATTTATATGAGGAATTTGATTTCTCTCCTATTTTCACATAATCTGATGCATGAGAAGAGAATTCCGCAGCGTGGTGAATTCTTTCTGACTGCATATAAACACTGTCTAGAGAGGAACTTTTAGTGAAACTATATACCACTATAAATACTTTTCTTTTCCACTAATAAGTTCAAGAACCTTTTACATCAATTTCTACAACTTTCAAGTTGACTTTCAGAAAGGATACAGTGCAAAATCATGCAATTTTGAATTTTCGGCGCTCATGCAAGGAGCAAACATGATTCCTTGACATTACTCTCGCCGGCTTTAATGCAGTGAATGGCAAGACCGGCACCTCTGTGACTCCAGCAGTGCGTGAGGGGGAGTCGGAAACAAGGACAACGGTGAAGAACCATACATCGGGGATACGGCCTTGGTTTATGTTTTTGATCAGTCCTCTCTTTCATTTTTATGCACATTACCTTTATGCAGGTTTATATATACATTTTACATCTAATATTCTCATACATCTCATCGTACATAATTAGTCTAAAACCTGCAATGCTTTAATTATAGGAAATATGTCATATTTATTTGTGATGGATGGGACATTTTCCTCCAAGTTATGGTGTTGATTAGTTTCAGCTCCCAGTACTGGTCTCCAGGTGGAGATTAAAAGATATTAATTAAAAGACTGGATAACGAGTTAACAGCATTTGTTGTGCTTTATATGTGTATATATACACAGTCTGTCCTGGGACTTTTTAATCACACTAAGCTTATTTTTAACGTGTTGCATCTTAAGGTGCTGATATCTGTCTGAGATCTGACAGCTGGCATGCAGAAAATTCCTTTTTCTCTCTTTCTCCTTCTCTCTCCAGCTAAAAAACAAAGATAAGTGAGTCATCCAGACAACAGGGACCATGCTCCCTGCCATCTAAACCAATCAGAGACTGGAACGACTTGGAAGGTGAGAGAGACAGCTTGGGAGGAAATATCTTAAAGATAAAAACAGGTCGCAGTTGAGAAAATGACTTTATGTTGTTTGTTTTTTCTTTTTTTTTTCTGGCAAATGATCTGTCTTAGCTGTGGAATTATAATTGCTCTGCTTATTTAACTCTAGAACTGTTCTATGTCTTTTAGTCTAGAACCCTAAACACAACAAACTTACAGTCTGTGTCCTTTCCTGTTTTTAGAGATAGTGCTTTGTTTTGGGCTGCAGAAGCCACTCATGGCTACAGCTCTTCAAAAAAATACACATTGTGTGTTTAAGGGGCGTGTCTGCAAAATAAAACAGGCTTCATCTTATCGTGGAGCAGCCAGTCCCACTGTCAGCCTTATCAGCAGCTCTGAAGTGTGCGAGCAAGGCCATGTGCTACTCACTGAAGCTAGATATAGCCAGGATGATGGTCACCACGATGGAGATCCAGGACACCCAGAGCGCCTTCTTCCGGTAGCTCTGGGCTTCATGGGGCTTCAGCCGCATGCTGCTCTCCAGTAGACCTGCGGAAAGTGATCGCAGAGCGAGCGATCAATGCCCTGTATTGATGGCTAGAGGTCTGCTAGGAGTAAAGTGTAGTCTGGGGTTACAGTCAATGCAGACCAGTGCAGGTGATACTGTGCTGCATCCTACAGTACAGTAGGAGGCGGGTAAAAGTATGATGCCTAGTTTCAATATCAATTACCAATCAAATAAAATATAAATTAAAATAGAATGATGAAAATACATATATTTAGCAATAGTTAACGATGTTAATGCTTAGTAATTGTGTTTTAAATCATAAAAGACAGAAGTGGGTGTCTATCCTGTGAATTTGTCCACCTTCACTTCCACCAAACTCAGATGCTACCACAGGAATGTCTCCTCCTTCTCCTCAGTAAGAGATATCTGAAGGACCCATGGAGGGCCAATTTCCATGCTTCTTTTCACCGTCGTGCACAATGTTCCCATTGGATCGTTGGTGTGTCATAATGAAAGACTGAATATGGGTGCGGGTGCTGGGCTTCATAGAGATCTGTCCCATCTTTGGTCCCCTGCTGAAGAGCTACCAACGTCTCTCAAAAGAAGGTGGCCCCAGGCTGGGTGTCTGTCCGAAACCACCCCCCCAACCCCGGCTCCCCCCACGGGGAAACGATTTCCCAAGGTCCTTTGCAAAGCCTTGAAGAATGTCAGGTATTGACAGCCAATTAAAAATACTCATTCATTATTCACTGGTGGGAATCGATTGTGCAGCACAATTCCGAGTGCTGCGCAGCCTCGTTATTGGAATTCTGCTGCAGCGCTCAATGCAAATAGGCATGCGGGAAAAAGCCGGCATGGAGAGCCTCTCACCGGGATGCCACGACATCAGGCGGCCTCTACCATGCTGGGGCTTTGAATGGGGGAGGGGGGGGACATCATTAGCCTCTATGTCTGGGTCAAATTTTTATTGATGTCTAACGAGATGTGTCATTAGAGGAAGGATCCAGGCTCACGCTGATGGTTGCATGTGTTGTGACACCTTCTGCACTGATGCTGCCATGTCGTTCAATCCAATCAGAGGCAAGACATGGAATGAGCGGCACTGCAAGCCATCATATAATCAAGGTCATATCTCCCCTCCTAGGGTCAGAATTTTGATAGGGCGAGGTATACCCTCGAGTTCTGAGTGCTGAATGTCGTAAAGTTTCTAAAATCCCGGCTGCATTTTTATTTCTGCATGGGGGGACGACACTACATGACATTACTATAATAATACGTTACACCTGTAATAAACTTTCGTTATGATGATTTGCCGTGGTGTTTCAGGTATCGATTGCTGTTACCGACACTTCAGTATGTTTCTGTGTTCTGCTAGTTCAGTTACGTCACACCCTACCGGGTCTGGAACTTCAAGTGGTTCACGAGCTTTCACGCTTTAACCTTACTCAAGTGGGATATTTTGAGACACAGTCGTAGATAAAGGTATAAATACGTGGCTCCGCCTCGGTGTCGCACCTGGAGCATTTCCGCGACCAAGCCACGCCCTAAAACACCGTTACACAGCGCTCCAGCTTGTTATCATCACAGTTTTCATTTCTTGCTTCCGAAATTATTTCGGCTAAATTTAAATATTAGATAAAACAAGTGCCACAGACTACTGGAAAATATTTGTGTGAAGTCTCCCTTCTTGCTTTATCTTAAGTAATCCTGTTTGTTTCCATGCCCAGTTTTGTAAACCCAAATTTATGAGATAAATAGGAGGAGACGGGGGGTAGTTAGACATATAAAATGTAGCCTATGTTGCTAGAATAAGGGTAATACATAATGTCACTCATTTCACTGACTATATTTTCGAAAAACAATTAATCACATTTCGTTTTCCAGATCACAACCTCTGCAACAAAATCACGCATGCATGAAGCGTCATGCTTTGTTTCGTCTGTATTCTGTTGCTGCTGCTCGGATCCATTTAAGTATTTTATTAAAAAATCAATCTGAACCTTACTCGTAAAAGGTCTAAGTCATAACACGTTACTTCGCGACTTACCTGGGGAATTTCAGAAGGAGGTAGCTCACGAAAACCTCTATGCATTTTTGAATTTCATTTTGTTTTGTCTACTTGTTAAACTGTTAATAAACTGCCCTCTACTTTCTGTGCACGTGCAGATGTTCTAAACCTGCACACACACTTCGCAGGCAATACAGATATTTGAATTCACCACGCAGGAAAAAAAATCGTTGTAGAACGTTATGCTTAAACAGTGAAGTCAATCACTGTTAATATAATTAAATTGTTACCTTCTCCCTCTACGCCGTCGCTGATTTTCATCTGATGGTCCTGGTCCGAATTGAACGGGTCGCCCTGACTTGCTCTTTTGGGTGGGTGCTGATCTGGAGGGGGGCATCGTCCGTTCGGAGCCGAGGGATCCAAAATTGTCGGGTCTGGGACCGGACAGGTCTCTGGTGCCGAGTCCATAGCGACCGTTCACTATCTTTAGTACAAATGAAGCACTGAAATTTATTTCGCACCCAGGCGAGAAGTGCAAATCATCCGCCGTACAGATGCCGAGAGATAAGAGATCAGCGATATCTCCCCCTACATCAGCATCCCCGACCGGCTTAAACGGGAAGGCAGATACACTTAAACAGATACACTGTGATAAAATGGCAAAAAATAATAGGAATAAAAATAAAAATCCACCTTGGTCAGGAGAGAGTTTTCTCTGGGAGCCTGAGACAGCCGTACATGTGGCACTTAGAGCCCGCTGTTTGTCCGCCAGCCGTGATGCGCCTCGCGATCCTCCCAGGTGACACGGCGTCAGGACGCTCGCCTATGATAAACGTTAAAGTGCCGCACTGTCTTAAAAAAGCCATTGCGTTGCACAGATATTAAAACGTGCTCTGATTACACCGGTACATGGTCGCATCAGTAACTGAGGAACTTGATTGTATTTCCCTAACAGTTGAGATTTCTAATTGCTGTTTGCTTCCTTGTTGGAAATTCAAAGTTATTTTTAAATGTATTATTAGGCACTACGCATTTGAAACTGGAATAGTTTTCCCATATCAGTTACTTGTGCCCACAAATTCAATGTTCAGGTATTTGACAGTTTAGATAAACGTACAACGAAAAAGAAAACAAAATATGGGAAAATATTCTTGCACTTCTTCCATCTAAGATTTTAGGAATATTATTTTGAAAATACCCCGCACTCAGTAAGTACTTTGTCATTATTTATTCATTCATTGTAAACCATACTTCTAAACATCAAGCTATGAGTAAATAACCGTTTAATCAAAGACGGGAGGTCTTAAGAAGCCTTATGAGAAATTAGACCTTCCAAACCACAGTGGGTGGGATTAACCTGTGCTGTCATCAAGCGGTTTTAACTCAATGCGAACCAGTCAATCAATAATTAGGAGAAAGTGGATAGATCTAGCTGTTAACTGACCGAGAAAGGCACTTATACTCACAATGGGCTTTAAAGCCTCGTTTATCCCAAGTAATGATCTGATTACCAATATTTAAGATTAGGTCAAGAAGGATTACATAGATGTAAAACACTGAAACGTAACGGAGAAAGGTCTTGTTGCTGTTCAGGTGATACCATGCCATCGACAGCAATTTAAACAGAACTGATCTAACCTTTGTTTTGCGTGAGTATTTTTCTCACATTTAAAGTAGCTTCAGGTGATGCTTTTTCCCAAACTAACTTGAAGTTACTTTATAGGTTTTATTAGTAGTAGCATTCATCTTGAAATGTACAACCGTTAGATCCAAATCTTAGCTTCCGCCCTGCGATAATGTAAGAGCAACATACACTTGTTTGGTGTATGTTTCATTTCTGCAACATCACGACGAAAGACAACCTGTTCAGTTACATAATGTACTGTTTTCCTTCCCCAAAGATCCTGTATTTAAGCACCGAGTTCAGTGTAATAATAACTAGATTGTTTACCAAAGCAAATTAATTAGGGAAGAGAATTTGCTGCATGTCCTGTGTTATCCTGCCTAATGAGACTGAAAAGACAAAAGACTAAGTGAAAAGACAATCTTTTCAGCGGGGCTGTGACAAGCATCCGAATACAAAAAGTTCAATGAAGACATAACCGTACTGCAACTAGGCGGAGAGATGTTCACTGAGTCACTGAATGTCAGGATCGGTCTTCTGTCGTACCCGTCGTCCCGCATTTTGCCAGCAGACGTCGCTGGCCATCGCTTTCTTTTCCCTGTGCTTCCCTAGGTCTCATTCTTCTGACAGTTCCAATTGTTTTTCCGTGCTCCCTGAACCGCCGTATGGCCGAATGTAAGCAACGTACATCCTTAATCATCGTGTGTTAGATTTCAGCCAGCCTCAACTATATACTGTATGCTGGATGATTTTGTTATTAGTTGCCCCAAAGTTGTTATGGTCAAGCTTCTATGTATGTGTATTGGTTCTTGTTTTGTGCTTTTGTTCTTAAGGTGGCCATATACTTAAAACGAAGTTCGGACAAAACGAAATGGAAACGTCGGCGAAATCATGTATGCCTGATTCGTCTGATAGCAGAACCTACTTCAAATGACGCCGCCACCTTGTTCTATGTCACGCCACAACCCTTGAAGGCACACAGTGTTTTCCATGCAGCAGACCCCCATGCAGGGGGCAAATAAACGTATTGTGGCAAGTGCGTGAATAATTATATCAAATGAGATAGCAGCTCTTTTAAAGGCTGATCTCTTTATTAACAGTCACTATTGGTATAATACTATAATAGCAGCGACACAGACAGAGAAGCCAACCATTTAAACATCACTAACGGTTACACGCTAACTCATGATGTCATGAGTCACCCAGATACTTACCTCTACGGTCACCACTACTTACCACTTCATATATAACGCACCTTATAGAGGTATGGGCATGTGCATGTATATGGGTATGTATATGGTTATGTATCTACAGTATACGTATATGTAGATGTATATGTATGTATATCTGTATGTAATGTATGGATGTATGTGCATTGTACGGGTGTGTATATGTACATGCCAATACCCACTACCTGGATAGTAAATTGTAGCTGTAGTAGTAACATAGTTGATATTTATTATTACTTGCACTTTTTCCCACAACCCACTATCCATATTACATATTGTTTATGGGTGTACATAGGCACTACTGTTGTATTTAGTGTTTTATTTTATTTTATTTTATTTTTTTGTATTCTTCTTCTTGTATTTTTATATATTTGTACTCTTTTCAGGCTATCTGTCTAGAGCTGTGGTAACGCACAAATTTCCCCACTGTGGGATCAATAAAGTCCTATCTTATCTTATCTTATCTTATCTTATCTTAAACCCACACATTCCACAGCAAACATTACAAGGTTTTGACATTTATTATTAATAGAAATACACATTAATTTACATTATTTAACTGCGGTGGGTGCAAAGCATGCAAGTAACAGGGTAATTGTAATTTTCCTGACCAACCCCGCTTCCTCAAATTTATGGCAGCCAATCGTGTATAGCGGGTGGGATCAGCACGCACGGAAAAAGTTCGCCTCGGGGACCCTCCACAGGCGGTGCGGCGAAACGGTGATCACCATGGTGATTAAGTCTGGTACGACGTCATATTGCCAAAACGACGTAAATCCCGTCTAAACTATACCGTTAGTGTTAGCTATTCCTGTTTGCATCTAGCTTTGTAGTTGTCTTGTTTCACCTTTGTTCCCAGAATCTCCTAGTGTTTGGGTACCAAGTGTTTAGTTGATTGCTAATGACCCTTACCTGTTCCTATAGCTCCTAATTTCCTGTGTATAATTGCTAATGGCCCACCACACCTGTCCTCTGTTTAAACCTTGTCCTTTGAGTATGTACCTGCCCTGGTCCTTGTACTCTATGTGCTTGTAGGTGTTTCATATCTTAGATTCCCTGTTTCTGGCTTCTTTAAGTTAAATTGTAACAAAGTTCCCTGTGTCCTGAAAGCCGCTTGTGCATCGTCCATCATGCCCTGTCGTGACACTGGAAATTATTTTATTGGCGCTCTTTCTTGACTGTGCATGCAAATCTTGAAGCTTCTGTGGTATAGTAATTTAATTTTCTAATACTACAATTTGATTAGGTTTGTGGTTAATTGCATCTAACCACTGGACTTCCCGATACCTAGGTTTGTGGCATGTACCTTAAGGTAGGCGACGTGCTCCCTCTAGCGTGGGGAAAATTCTTGGAAAGTTAAATGATGTGATTGAGTTAAACCGCTTTTCCGCTTACATAAATCATATTTGTATGTACACATACCTTATCTGACACCAGAACCTAAAAAGAACAACCATTAATGTGAGATTGTATCTAACTACAATAGAAGAAACCATAATTTAAGATTCAGTATTCAATTAAATTATATACTAAATACAACTGGGAAATTAATGTAACACAGCTTTTAAGAAGGCAGTGATAATATTAAGAAATAAGAATTGTTTACCAAGGTTTATATCTATTGATATAAATTACTGCAGGAAGTCAGAAATGTTGATCTTAAAGCGACAACTAATACATGCTGTACATGATAGTGTAATATTCATTTGCTATGATGGATCTTATTACCAAACACGGATCATCCTCTGAGTCTGTTTACATGGCTAACCAGACTGCTGTTACTTGAGAGACACTGGCCAAAAGTAGCTCCACAGTGCCACCTACTGAGTTCAAGAGGGCAGTGCATGAAAGTATTCTCTGGAAACTTGAACTAGACTGATAGTTGGGAAGATATTATGAAGTTATCAGCTTGTATCACTCATTTTATTTGAAGGGGTAGTTCCTTCTCCCAATATGACCAAAAAGAAAAAGATGAACTTTTTTTTTTTTAAGTAACATAAGAACATAAGAAATTTACAAACGAGAGGGGGCCATTCAGCCCATCAAGCTCGTTTGGGGAGAACTTAACTAATAGCTCAGAGTTGTTAAAATCTTATCTAGCTCCGATTTAAAGGAACCCAGGGTTTTAGCTTCCGCTACACTAGCAGGAAGACTATTCCATACTCTAACTACTTGCTGTGTAAAGAAGTGCTTCGACAAATTTGTTTTAAAATGTTCTCCCACTAATTTCCACTTATGGCCACACGTTCTAGTGTTTAAACTAATATTGAAATAGCCATTTGGCTGAACAGCATCCAGACCCGTTAGAATCTTATAGACCTGGATCATGTCCCCCCTTAGTCTCCTTTGCTCAAGGCTAAACAGATTCAGCTCAGCTAACCTCTCCTCATAAGACATTCCTCTAAGACCAGGAATCATTCTCGTAGCCCTCCGTTACACATTTTCTAAGGCAGCAATGTCCTCCTTAAGGTATGGTGACCAAACCTGCACACGATATTCTAGGTGGGACATGGAAGCATAAACATACAAACCGAGATCTTTCTCATAATCAGCTACCTTTATTTCAGTGGAACCCATAAAATAGCTGTACTTTATATTTCTGCTCCCTGCATGGATTTCCTTACATTTATCTGTGTTAAATTTCATCTGCCAAGTATCAGCCCAGTCGCTAATTAAATCCAGATCCCGTTGTAGCCTCTCTGCTGCTAGATCAGTATCTGCTACACCACCCACCTTGGTGTTGTCTGCAAATTTAACCAGTTTACTGTATGTATTGGTGTCAATATCATTAATGTAAATTAGAAAAATAGTGGTCCTAAAATTGAACCCTGCGGTACCCCACTATGAACGCAGGCCCACTGTGACATTGTGCCTCTAATAACTACTTGCTGCTTCCTGTCAGTTAACCAGTTTTCGATCCAAGCTGGCACAGTTCCTAAAATCCCTGCAGCTTTGAGCTTTAGCAAGAGCTGTTTGTGGGGGACAACATCAAAGACCTTTTGGAAATCTAAGTAAATCACATCGTAGGCCTTTATGTGATCAATTTCACTTATAGCTTCCTCAAAGAACTGAAGTAGATTCGTTAAACAGGATCTACCTCTCCTAAATCCATGTTGGCTATCCTTCAGAATGTTATTTGCATCCAGGTAATCTACCATTTTCACTTGGATTATAGCTTCCATTATTATTCCACCAATGCTAATTAAACTGATTGGCCTATAGTTTGCTGGATTACTTCTATTCCCTTTTTTGAATATGGGTGTTATATTAGCATGCTTCCAATCTGAACTTACCACACCCGCAGATAAGACATCATTATGTCAATGGATTTTGGCTATATGCTTGATTTTTAAAAATTATCCTAAAGAGCAAAAAATTATGTTAAGCTAAATACTCGTCTTAGTAAATCACATTAGAACATTTGCGTTTCTGTGGTATAGTAAAAAAAATAGCAAACAGTGAGTTTTTTTACTTTCAGGATTTATTTGTGATTTGGTGAAATTTACTACTTTGTAATATAAAAGTAGTAATATAATGGTTTGTAATATAATGGAGTAATAAGAAGAAGAATTTTATTTTTTACGCCAAGAATTCACTGTACAATGAACAACGCAGGCAAAGCGTGGGAAAAGGCTGCTTGTAGTTAACACTACATTTCCCATAAAACCCTATTTCGTATCCGGTCCTTGTGACGCTACCTTCTTCGTTCCGTTGTTACGCGAGTCTGCGCTCGGCTGCGCTGTGCAGTGCTGGAGCGCAATGGCGGCGTGCCGGGGGTCCTCTTCGAGGTGGTTCTTCACCCGGGAGCAACTGGAAACCACGCCGTCCCGCCGCTGCGGCGTTGAGCCGGACAGGGAGCTGTCCTACCGACAGCAAGCGGCAAACCTTATCCAAGACATGGGCCAGAGACTGAACGTGTATCCTTTACAGAGCCGGATCGAGGAATGAGTGCGGCAGGATGCTGCGGCCGTTTTAGGCCGCTCTCGGTGTGGCTTTTTGTCGTGTTATTACCAGTGAAGCCCCACTTATCTTTGGCACGTTTTGAGTGAACAGGGGGCTTTTTCCGTACCGTATGCGCTTTAACATCTGATTTGTGGCTCATGGCGGCGCTTCGTGGGATTAGCCGTGCGGACGGCGCCCTGTTAGCCGGCCACCGTTAGCTGCCGGCTCGCCGTTATATTTCCGACCCTTATCTCGGCCGACGGGCTGCGGGCAGCGCCGTAATGGAGCTGTTAAACTGGACCGTAAACATGCTTTTCAGGAACCAGGGATTTTGGTCTTCCATGGCTCGGAGTTAACTAGTAGTCCGCTAACTAATAGTGCCTGTTAGGAAGCCTAAGAGCTTCTGTTGGGGATGGGTCAGATGTAACCAACCCCCTCCCCCCGATCGAGGGAGATCGTTGTGGAGAAATCCACGATAATTGTATGGAAACGCTTCGCCATTTACCTAATAACTGGCATTTTATGAGTGGAACCGCTCTACTCATTTGGTTGGTTCGCCGGGTTAAGCTAGGTGAGGAAAGCTAACTGGCTAGGGAGCTGGCCGGCACGACCGCTAGCTTCAGTTACCGGAGGTTAAAAATGATACTAGGGTTTGGGCATCACGTCTGGAGGGTGTCCCCGCCGGGTACCGAGGAGGTCCCGATCGACGTGATGTCAGAGAATTCCATTAAGCCGCTTTGCCCCTACCCCTGTTGAACAAAAGGCTAGGTGTTAGCTTTCGCAGGATGAGTGGTGCGCGGGGTGGTGGTAAATAAACCTGAAGCCACTTTTGTTCAGGATGTGTATAACTGCGACTTCCGCTCCTAGGACCGGTTATGGATGTGAATATGGTTGTTTTGATATGTGATAGTAGCCTGTTAACAACAGAGATGCCTCAGTCATGGTTTGAAGACTAACTCCTTTTTGAGATTCCGTGTCGCATGATTCTTGTTTGCCCATGTTTTGCCATGAAACTTTCCCATGGTAGTTTTCCTTAATTCCAGCCCCAACAGCTCCCAGCTTACAATAAACACTGCGATTGTTTACATGCATAGGTTTTATATGTACCACTCTTTTACCAAGTTCCACAGAAATGTAAGCATCAATTTTCTCTGATTTTCATTTCCATAATTGTAGTGTAGCCATGTGCTGTTTTGAAACACGATTGGTTATGTTAATGGTATAAGGTGTCACATTTTAACCAGAAATGTTTTTTTGTGCAAGATGACTTCAAAGGTTTCTTCACTGAGTCATTACATGAGTTTGTGTTCGACCTTTTAGTCACATACAAGTCTGTTGCTGAAGTTCAATAAATAGGGTTGGATTGTTAAGTTATACATGTCAAAATCAGTTAAGTATGCTGCCTTGGCATCATCTGTGTGTTATCCTTTTTATTTAATAGATAATCTCTCCAACCACCTTATTCCTGGCTGCGAAGGTTGAGGAACAGCCGCGGAAACTTGAGCATGTGATCAAAGTTGCGCACGCTTGTCTAAACCCCCAAGAGCCCCCGTTAGACACAAAAAGTAACGTAAGTATGGCTCCTGTCGGCTGCTGTGTCTTACACCACTGGCCCGTCCCTCTCTGGGTCACCCTCTGCATCACACCCCCTCTGCTGTCTGACACAGAGGGACTTTTGGTTTTCAGTAATGCTCCCTTGCTGCACTGTAGCAGCTCCAGCCCACCAGCCTGGTTACTCCTGGCAGTCAGGTTAGGGAGGCTGGTAGGACACATTACAGACATAATGTAACGGTTGTCTGTTGAACTTCAGGCCTACCTCCAGCAAGCTCAAGAGCTGGTGATACTTGAAACCATAGTGCTGCAGACTTTAGGTAAGTGGAGGCCAAGTAAGGGGGGGGGGGGGGGGGGCTGTGAGCGGTTATTTTGCGTTTGGCATTCTGGGACCTGAGTATCTTTTTGTGATGCCTTATTAATACTCCTGGTGGTGTTCTCAATGGGATAGGGGTAGGGTGTGTTGGATGGAGGCAGTGTGGTCCATGGTGTTGATGGGTTACATCACATTATTTGTACGCCTGAAGTTTTTGTAGCTGGGACTGCGAAAGATGCTCTTTTTCTGTTTCCATGTCTGACTTTTGATTGGGGTCAGGTTAAACCAGGCAGTTTCTTGCAAACAGTGTTGCCTGCACTTCATATATGATCATCATCCTTGCACATAGACTGCACTGGAATTTACTCTTCCTGAGTATGACTCAGGGGTCAGATCTCTGACTGCTTTGGGGATAATGTGTCCTGTTCATAGAGCCACTTGTTGCAGTGGATGTGTAACTGTGCCCCCCCCCCCCCAACCTTGTGCCTTCTCTTACAGGGTTTGAAATAACAATTGACCATCCACATACTGATGTTGTGAAGTGTTCCCAGCTTGTGCGAGGTAGACACCTTTTATTTCACTTGCAAAGTCGTCCTTCTATGGCCTAAGTGTGTAAATGCATAGCCTGTAGATCGGGGAGGTTAAAGGTCATGTACTGTTATGTGAAGTGCCCTCTGTGGTGGCCATCGGGGTGTCTTCACCCTTCTGTCACACCGTGTGTTAAAACTCAAAGCCGTAGCTGATAATTCAGCAAAACGCAGTCATGTGCTTAGACTGACTCGTCGTTTTCTCTCTCCTTATTTCAGCGAGCAAGGATTTGGCACAGACTTCCTATTTCATGGCTACCAACAGGTTGTTATCCTGACCCCTCCTTTTTGCACTGTGATAGCACACTATAGCTTCCTTTACTGCTGGGTCCCCTGTCCGTGCCCAACGCCCTCCTTGCGCCGGGGCCCATGGGAAGCCCCTGCCTGCCCCCGGCCACCCCAGCGGGGCGGGCGGGCGGGGGTGGTACCGGCCCGGGTGCGGTGCGGTGTATTGTACGAGGGATTGTGTTGGCACCGGGGGGTTGAATGCACAATGTGAAGTGTAGTGGTGCTCTATCCACCCCACCCCACCCCCCGTTCGGTACAGAGTGCATATGTCTAAGGGAATTTGGTAGCCTGAATAACGGCTAAAGATTGCAGGGATGTAAGCTTTACCTAGAACTCATCCTGGTAAGTACACAGACATTTTCAGTTCTTATAAAATTAACTTATTATATTTCTCTGTGATTTCAAATTTAACTAAACTTAAATGGACATTTCTTTTGCTACAATAAGTTTTATAAGCAATCATTAATTTGTGTATACTTTGGTTTCTGATAATCATTAAGAAAATTAGTTTGATGTTTTGTTTTTTTAAAACTTATTTACATTTAATTGTATAGTGCATTTTGTTTAGCTTTTAAGTATAATGATTGTTGGCCTCTGCTGGCCTCAGTTATGGTACATGTATGGTTCTTAAAGGGTTACTTGTGTTTTTTCCAGTTTAAGAGTGTAACTTTTTATATCACAATGTCAACAGCTATGTACAATGTCTGGAAATGGAACTGAAAGTACTTTTATTGAGCTTTCTGGAGAAGGTGGACCATAAGAAATTCAATCTTCCTCTGTCAGAATAGCTGTAGTCACCGTGATTGAAGATTGCTTGATATGGGCTGTACTGTGGTCTCAGAGCCAGAAGAGAGTCCAGACATTGTACAATTTTATACCAGAGGCACAGGGTTACCTCCCAGCTTGTTGCTGGGGTTGGTCACTTGTAGATAGCTTGTTCTGTTCTGTGCCGGGCCTCACACCTGTCTTCTCAGTTTAGGCCAAAATGGCTGCTTTGTACCTCTGAGTCCTCACTGCACATGTCACTCATTAAGTTCCTGTGAAATTCTTTATGGATTGCTGTGAGGTGGGATTTCATTTAATCACAAATATTGGATCAAAAACATTCTGAAATGATTGTGTGGGACTGGTGTGGGCAGCCTGTTTGGGAGTGGCTCCAATTCAGGGTGAAATGTTAGACCCTGAGAGCAAGCCCTTGGTATCTTCCCACATCCGGGTGGCAGACTCTCCCAGGCAGAGCTGCTGAGCAGCATGGGGGGGTCACACTGTGCCTCTGGTCACATTTAACCCTGGACAGGATGTCAGCTTGGTTAAGTGACATTACAGACAATTTGTGTGGTTTGACAGAGGGACACATGGAGACTGTTTCAGTTCCTCAGACTCTCTGCATTGATGTGCTGCTAATTTTTGTGACTGGTGGTCTGAGGTTAATCACATCCCCCTCTTTCCCCCCTCCTGTTACCTCGTCTTCTGCCTGCCCCCCTCCCCCACAGCCTGCACCTCACCACCTTCTGCCTGCAGCACAAGCCCACAGTCATAGCCTGTGTGTGCATTCACTTGGCATGTAAGTGGTCCAACTGGGAGATCCCCGTCTCCACAGACGGGAAACACTGGTGGGAGTATGTGGACCCGTCAGTCACCTTGGAGCTGCTTGATGGTGAGTCTCTCTTTTACCCATAAAGCACTGCTTCCATACTGTATAATACTGATTTGGGTGTATGCAGGTTGTTTTGAATTCATTGGCCTCAGAGCCATCTATTGCTTGGTTTGAGACCTCATGTCTCCATTGAACGGGTGGATGCCTGATGTTGAATGGCCTGCCTCCACTTCCTGTATTGCAGAGCTGACCCACGAGTTCCTGCAGATCCTGGAGAAGACGCCAAGCCGGTTGAAGCGTATCCGGAACTGGAGGGTAAGGATGCCTCCCCCACAACAGGCCTGTCTAGCAAGGAGAGTCATAGGGAAATGCAGTTATTTTGATTTATCTCAGTCCTGAATGAATGATCAGGATAGTGTCAGTGGGACCGCACCTGGATTTATTCATGGCCAAGATAAGATAAAACTTAAGAGTCTTAAATCACTAGGGAGAAGCAGAGTTGGCCCTATTTTGTTTGTAATTGTAATGGTAATTGTAATAATCTTAAAATATTAATTATAATCTTGTAATTGTGAATTGTTGTGGTAATAAATTATTTACCCATCAGGCCACCCAAGCCGCAAAGAAGCCCAAGACTGATGGCCAATCAGCAGACAGCTCATTTCTGGGACCCTCGTTGATCCAGGACCACTCCCTGGAGGACTGCCTCCCCGGAGCATCCAACAGTGCCCCCTTCTCCAAGGCTTCTGCATCATTCCCAGTTGCCATGCCCTCCAACCCTGGTGGTAGACCCCTTTCCTTGGATGGCCTGGCACCCATGCCAGGCACTTACACCTTCACGGCTCCCAATGACTGGCCAGCGGATCCAGGCCGGGCCGACGCGTATACCCTCAAACCAGATAGCCTGGCACTGCCACCAGGGGCGCCGCTCTCCCTGCATGCATCACTGCAACCGCCGCGGCCCGACAAGGGCCCCGAGTTCCCCCCTGTCAAGCACGAACACAAGGCTGGGAAGCACCTGGCGCAGCTGCCCTATGCCGCTCCCATGCCCCCGCCCCAGAAAATGTCCCTGGAAAAGTACCGGGAAAAACACGCCGCTGAGCTAGTGGGACAGCGGCGTCGACAGGAGCAGGGTTCAGACACGGAGGCTCGGGACACTTACGCCCACCCAGGACTGGTAGATGCCCATCACAGGAAACACCCCCCGGCCCACGCCCACCTCCAGCAGCTCCCAGGATGCAGTACAGCCTCCTCCCCTCTCAAAATGAAGTTGCCCCCACCTTGCGCAGACCGGCACCCACCCGAGAAGCGGGACAAGGCCAGCGCCCTGAAGCTGCGGCTACCCGTCCCCCCCGGTGACAAGGAGGAGCTCAAGATGAAGATCAAGGTCTCCTCGGACGAGAGTGCGAGTCGCAGCAAACATTCCAGCCCCTTGGTGGTGGGCAAGGAGAAGCATCGAGAGCACGGCGTCCACCGGCACCACAAGCATGGGCACGGGCACCTGCACACACATAGCGGCAACGGCCGGGGTGGCCCCCAGGGGGCGCTCCGGAGCCCGGTAGGTGCGAGCGCCGAGGCCACGGGTCCTGGCCCCTCCCGGAAGAGGGCCCACCCCGATGCTGCCTCCCACAACCACCACTCCAAATCGAGCAAAAGTTCTAAAAGTGCAGGTAGTGCCTCTCGTTGTTCCTCTGTTCGGCAGTGTGTGTCTGCTGACGGCTCTGCTGTTGTTAACCACCCATTCCCCCCCCCTCCTCCCCCTGTCGCATACCAGGTGGGCTACGGACATCTCAGCACCCTAGTGAAACTGAACAGGAGTCAGGTGGAGAGCCTCGGCTCTGAGGGCGCCGGCCCCGGGGCCAACGGCCTGCAAACGGACTACAAAGACACTTTCGATATGCTCGATTCGCTCTTAAGTGCCCAGGGCATGAACTCGTGAGGGCGGTGGAGTGGAGGGCTCGGGTGTGAGGCCAGGCATTTAACACGGGATGGAACGGGAGACCAGAAGGAAAAAAAAAGAAAAAAAAAATACACTGAGTGATGTTTTGAAAAAGAGGAGGGTGATTGGAGTTCCTCTTGAGCGTGGCATGTGGAATCTGCCCGTTCCAACACATACATACACACACTTGCGGGTGCTGCTTTTTCCCCCATGATGTGCGGAGGGGCGGGGGGGAGAAACGTGATGTAAATGGTTTCATCTCCGCGTGAAAATAGTATTCTAAATACTTTAAAGGCATGAAAGGTGCAATTTCGTTTTATTTTATTTGTATAATTTAAACAGTGTTCCTACAACAGACTTCCTGTGTGAAGCTGATTGGCTGCTTCGGAAATGCCACGAGCCGTGGCGCTCAGAAAGGGGTGGGTGGGGATTCATTTCTTGGAATGCGTGATTGTTTTAGTTTGTTTTTATAACTTTATACTGTATGTATGAGTTGCATGTTCCAATCAAAGGAATACGACAGGATGCTGGTGACTTTACAGAAGTGGAGATGAATGTACATACATTTTTGTATGTTAAAGCTATACCATAAATACTCAGGTTTGGAGCTGCTTGTAATTATAACGAAGATGATATATAGATGAATATATAAAAGAGACTTGTAACTTGGTGTAAGAGTCCATAGGTGAATTACACTGCGGCATTCCAGTGGTGTGTTGCAGCCTTTATTCTGGATAGCTGCCAGTAGGGGGCTCACTACTCATTTATTCAAACTATTCTGACCCTACCAGTTGATCAGCTTCCGTGTCAGAGGTCGTCAGATTTGTGCATTTCCCACCTCCCTCTCCGCGACCTCAGATGTTCAAGCTGGATGCCAAAGGCTGTGCCTCAAAATTAAAATGGACAATTGTAGAAGTATAAAGTTTACATAATCTTTGCTGTGAAGTGCATTTTAAAATCTCTTGGCTTAATGCAGTAGCCTAGATGCAGCGCTGTAAATTGATAATGGTTATGTGGGATTATTGTCTATTCAAACAGCAGAATCAATAATTGGATGGGAGTCGACAGTTCTGTGCAGTCTTACTTCACTGGTTGGTTTGTTACGATGCATCTCGTTTCCTCACACAGATCATTCTGTTACTCTCTAGTCCTCCTTGATTCCTGTGTGCCGTGCTTCCCAATGAAGCCCGGAATGTGTGTGACCTGTGATGTGTTTTAATCTTGAATGCAGGTGCATCAGTGCTTTTAACAATGAGGAAGATCAGATCTTGACATCCGGTTTTTCCCTTTAAATTCTATAAATAAATCTTAAGGTTACTGCTACCTTACAAATGTTTTGTGGGCTTTTATTTTAAGGTTCTTGTTTTTGACAGCTGAATGTCTTTCCTTATATGTGGAGAAAAGAACCAAATGATTTTATTCAAAGTGCTAGAGCTTTATTTGCTGCTTCTATCGACATCCCAGTGAATGAGCTCTGCCTGCCACTGATCGCTGGCTGTGTTCAGCAGTCCGCTCAAAAAACTCCTAGACATTCACCCTTGTGTGTGAACTGAACATGCGTCTGTCACCCCTCCTGAGATTCTCGGTTATCCTACGAGATATTAGGAGACTTGGTAAATTGCATAGAAATAAAAAACAGGATGAGCGGTTGCCTAAATGCTAGTGCCTAAGGCTTAAATGCACACCTTGATGTTTAACAATTTGTAAATGAATGTGGCGTTTGGCTAAATGACAGCTGGTTCTTATGGCACCTGTCAGAGCTAAGACTCATGTTTTTGCCAGGCTGAAGCTCATTAGCGGGCGCGTTTAGATGAAGGGCCGCTTTGACGGTGCCCTGCAGACACCCAGGGTGGTTGTGTCAGCTCTGAGGCTGTGGGGCCCCCTCTCTGCTTCGCCGGAAAACAAAGGGATGAGCCAGCAGCTGCTGCGCCGACGGCCGCTCCTTCTGATCCCTGCAAAGCAAGTGGGGCAGTCTTAGGCTTCCTTTGGCCTTTAGCTTTGTCCTTGGACATATTGAAAGTCACAGTTTAAATGGGGCTGCTGGTGCTTTTTCGGATGCAACTATTTTATCTTCAGTTTTGAGAGAAACTTAGGAAAGAAAAGAGAATGGATCTTTTTTAAGTTGTCCTTCCTGATTTGGGGGACATAGTGTTTAATAGGAAAGGAAAATTCATTCTGGACTAATAAGGTTGGCTGGACATGCTACAATTTCCTGTTGAACAGTGTTTTAACCCCCATACCTTCAATTATCAAACTCTTCTTCCAGCTCAGTTTACACTCAAGTTAACAATTTTAGTTCGGTTCTGGTCAATTTATAAAGACCCAGTCAATCAAGGTGGTAAAGACAAGGCAGTGTATTTTAAATTTATCTGATGCTTTTATCCAAAGTGGCTTATAATGGAGGGAAGGATTCCATTTTATGGGATCCCTGCAATTCAAACCCACAACCTTTGCCTTGTTAGTTCTTGTTGGACTGCAAGAGCCGTCCTGGGTACCAGTTCACAGACCCATATCTAGGGATATAAAACTAGTCTTCAGTACCCAAGCCAGGTGCAGTTATGCCACACTGAGTGAATGATTCCACATCCCACTGGGCATTTTTCTGGTGACTGACACCAACTATTCCATTCACTGCCTGTGACACCCCTGGTCTTCTGTTTTTAATTCAATTTGGTCATGACACTAGACTCCCATGTCTATTGGAATATTAAGTATAAATCCCTCTGACAACACATGAACTTGCCTGGTCAGACATGCTTGGACGAAGTCCTGGGCTTCCTTTGAAAACCTGTCTGGTATAGCAGGCATGAGCCCCTTGCGTGCACCAATGTAGAAGAGCGCTGCCATCTTGTTCATGTTAGCCAGAGGGGGCTTTCCTGTGGCCATCTCAAAAACTGTACACCCAACGCTCCAGACATCTGACTTCCTCCCATGCCCTGTCTCGTTGATCACTTCTGGGGCCATCCAGTAGGGGGTGCCGTGCACCGACTTGAGGAGCTCGCTGCGGTCAGTACTGTGGGTCAGCTGGCTGAGTCTCCTTGCACAGCCAAAGTCGATGAGCTTGATGATACCTGTGGGCATCAGCATGACGTTGTTTCCCTTTAGGTCCCGGTGGATGACCCTGTTTGCGTGCAGGTAGGCCACCCCCTGCAGGATCTGTAGTGTGTAGAGTGCCAGCACCCTCTCAGGCAAGGGCCCGAAGCGCTGGAGGATGCTGGCGATGGATCCACCAGGCACATACTCCATGAAGATGCTGACCACATTGTCCTGGAGGGTCGTGCCCAGAAAACCCACAATGTTTGCATGGCATAGATTCTTCAGAAGGTCCACTTCATCCTGGAGGTGCTGGTACTCCTTGTTAGCGGTGGTTGGGTCAGTATCATCTAGCGCCACCTGCTTTACTGCAATCAGCTGACCATGGCTGGTCAGGCCACAGTACACCTGGACCAAGTGGACATAAACAATAGTGTCAATTAAGCCTGACCATGAATCTGTTTGTTTATTATTACAGGAGACTTTCAGGTAAATATACTAACCATCTGCAAGTGCAGCTGGTTTAAATGAGGTCTTCATACTCTGGATTTTATCTTCTATAAGTAGCACACTATTTGCATACTGAATACTGATCTAATTTTCTTTTAGTTCAGATATTGTCCTTTTTTTATAATCTCATGAGGCTCTTTCTTGGAAGATGGAAGACTTTGTTTTCGATATTAGGCTGATCTTTTTTTCCTATGGTGTCCGGTAATGACTTACGGTTCCATAAGCACCTTTTCCCAGCACTTCTCCTTTTGTCCACAAGATGGTGTCATCTGTGCGTGAGCCTGAAATGTTGCACGTTCCACCAGGGGATGTAACGCCCTGCCACATGACGCAGTAATAATACACTCGATTTTTACAGAGCAGGGAACTATTCGTGTATACTCACATTTATGGTGCTACAGCTCAATGCAGTCTTACTGTATTTCAAGCTGTAAGCTGTAGATTTTGGTCAGGTATTCATATATAATACTAAAAATAGATCTGAATTATGTACATTTTGATAAGGTAGCTTATTTTCTTAGTCCTGCTAGTCCTACATATACATATATTGTTATTAAAATTCTTCTGTAACAGTTATTTTACAAGCTACCAAGCACGGGGTGATCACCTTTTTTATCCGAGAAGCATGGACAATTTCTTCCTTGCAGGAGTCACTGGTTTGTGGGGGATCTGTCTCTTCTCCTTCCTCCAGTGATATGAGCTGCTCAGCCAGGCAGCGCAACAGGTCATCTGTCATGGAACCCTCATCTGCTGCATCCAGTAACTTCTCAAACACTGGGGTCACCGTTCGGCTACTGTCTCCAGATGTCCAGTAATCAATTTTTGGTTGTGCTGTAAAGGAAACTGGCCTAAGTTCATCACTACGAGCTGTTACTGCAAGCTTCTCTTCACCGATTTTCACCATGAGTCCATTTTCATCAGCTTCTTGCACAATGTGGTGGGTTCTTAGGGAGCAGTAACTTGTAATCTGTGGGATGAATGATTCCTTTAGAGGTCTGATGAGAACTTCTGCTGACTTAGGAACAGATTTATCCTTAGGTGTGCAGTGAAAGGTAGATGCTTCTTCCAGGGAGTTGGTGAGGACCTCCTCAATGATTGTCAAGGCCCGCTTCCTCATGTGCTCTTCTGGTGTGACCCGAGGGTTGCTTTTCTTATCTTCTTCACAAAAAATCATCTCAGCTTTGGTTGTCTGAATATGGCAGTCAAGGCCTGATACAGAAATGGTACTTTCTAGTTCAGTGTCACTGATCAGCACCTGGTGTGATTTTCCTCTTGGCACCTTGTCCTCTCTCCTCTTCTGTTTGGCATTAGTGGAGATGGACTTCTCCCTTCGAGATTTATGTGGCTTGATCTCTGGGGGTTTAAGGTATGTGTTGTTTTTGGGCCCCTGGTTTCTCCTGGCCTGGGCACACTTCATCTCCCTGTAGGCTACTCTCTGATATGATGTGGAAGCTCTGAGCTTCTCGTACACTGGCGTGGCAAACATTTCGTAGATGGCAGGTCCCTCACCCTGGCTGTTAATCTCCAGGAACATGTCATTGTAGGTGACACATTCCATGGCTGATTTAGCTCTTGGAGCTCTCAGCATCCCAGACCTCTTGGGCTGCTGGGCCTTCATGGGTTCCAGCTCAAGTGGTTGCCTTTGACCTGCACCTTCAAGCCTAATTAGGTTCTTTCTGTCATCGCTGGATTCTGTCACATTTTTTCTGAGGGGCTCAACTCGCTTGTCCCACAGTGAAGGAAGCACAGTATTTTTCCCACTTGCCTTTGCGCCTTGTGGACCAACCTCCAGGATACTCTTGCCACCAATCGTGAGATCCGAAAGCCTTCTGGCATTAGCTGGCTTCTGTGAAGGTGTGATTGTGTTTCTGTTGCTCTTTCTGCTGTGTGTATTGTGCTCTTTGTGAGCGAGCACATTGAATGATTGATTGGTGTGATAGGAGGAATATCGATCTCTATCTCTGTTCTTAAGCATCTTAGAATGTCTGCGGTTCTCTTCGTTAAGCTGCCCTGTGCTCAGCGCAGTGTTCACTGAGTGGATGTGTTGCTTGCTCTCTGGAACGCTGCATGCTAATCGCACTTCATCACCGCAGGCTGTGGCATGAGAATCTCTGCTCCTCTCTGGCACCTTGGGGTTTGAATGCCACTCATCAGCTCTACCATCATCCTTTGTCAACACCTTTGAATATTTTGCCTTATCTGGATCTCCCCAAGCCTCCTCTTCACAGCTTAAACCGGGACGTGTAGCTAAATCAACATCACAGTGATTCTGTGTCTTCCCAGAAGAAACTGGTGTTGCAATGTTTGATGATTCTGTCTTGGATCCTTTGGGCATCACTGTGCAGTCGTCCATCCACTCTGTGTGATATATAACATGTATGTTGTCACCTATGATCTGCTCATTTCCATCTTGGTTATTATTAGGAGCTCTAGCTCCCGGATTTGGCCTAGAGGTATTGCAGTCATCTATAAAAGATGGCGGCAGGCCGAGCTCATAGCTCTCCCCCGTGACTGTATGCCCAGCATCCTCATGCTCTTGCTGATCTAGCAGCACCCCGAAGATCTCACTCTGCTCCTCGAGGTCCAAGGATGCCTGGCTGCTCAGGCTACTGGAGTTGCTCTCCTCACTGCCTCCCTTCCTGACAGGGAGTGCTCTTGACCGGGGTTTGGACCTCCACTGCTTCCTTTCCCTCGATGCTGAACTTGTTGGCCAAGAGGCAATGGGTTTTAGAGGACAAGAACCCCTGGATGCCAGCTTCATATCCTCATATCCTCTGTCCAGGGGAGCCAGGACCTTAAGGGTCCTTACAGGTCTGGGACACAGAAATGGCAACAATCCCTGAGAGGACAGGTGACAACAGGTTATAGGTGAGATGATTAGGTCTGAACCTCTTCTTGGCAGCAGCTTGTTCCGACTGATTAGAGTGATAATGTTTACATTTGAAATCATTATTGACATAATGACCACATGTCTCAGTCAATGAGTGAGGCTGGGAACTGATTCTGAAGACACTGATCAGATTTGACTTCACTGGTACATGGAGACAAACGGAGGTCTGGAATCTAAGTAATTTAAACAACAGCCCCTGGATCACTAGAAATTTAAATGGCACTCCAATCAATGACATCACTTCAAGTAGGTAATTGTGAACTGAACTGGAGCAGATAAATAAACTGAAGCCAGTGTGGCACTCCTTACCTTTCGTCCTGGGTCTTCAGATTCTGGTTCACTTCCCCCGAGTCCTGGGTGTTTGAGTAAATCCAGATATTAAGCCACTGTGATTTCATTTGAAAAAGGATCATTTCAGCAAGAAAGTGTGCTTGTTTCCAAAATAACAAGAAATCCATTTTGCTTGCACACAGATTTTTCTGCATTAGTCCTGCTAACTGAATTTTAGTGCAGCCTTGACGGTGCTTAATGATCGTTGCTATAAAACAAACGCGTTGATTTATTTGCAGCTGTGATGGGAGAGCAATAAAACAAAAGATTTTAATGGAGCTCTGCCGTGAAAGAATCAATCCTCTATATTCCATTTGGGTTTTGGGCCAGGATTTGCCACCCCCAAAAAAACAACTGATTATGAGTGTAAACAACACTTACTTGTGTAGACTTGAGCTCGAACACGGAGCAATGAACCAGGGTCCAGTAATGACTGGAGCCTAAAGGCAGGCTGGGCCATTCGAGGTTTGATGGGTGTATCCAGGCCATATGTGTTTGGGGTGGTAGCCTTGCCGGGGTTATTTGCTCTAAGCAAACTTGGCCTGTAACCTCCTTCACTCTCATTCCGCAGGCTGGGTAAAGATGATCCCTGGCTGTAGGAGAGAGACGCAGCATCACTAGTGTGCTGTTAGCAGTGGCAGCTTGTTGGGTTAGAAACAGTCCACATGAGCATTATAGCGTCTGATTGGGAGAACACCCCCAGCCCCCTCCGAAATCAGCCCAGCTGACCCTGCATATGCTTTACATGTTATCAGGGCCGGCTGGGCTTCGGTATCTGATTAGCTAAGCTCGGGCTGATCTCTCGATTCCTCACCAATCCTGCCCCATCTTTTTTTAGACTCGTAATTAGTAACATTCATTTTGACACCTCTCCGGATGACTTTGACCCATTTCTGCAGCCGGATGTTTGCTGGAGCGATTTGCATAGCGCCTACCCAATTTAAGGCGCCCCGCAGCTGCTCCCTCGCAGCTCTCTGCCTATTGATCATGGGGTCTTTTCCTCCGTGACATTTCTCATATGTCAGCTTTGTTGCGCCATTTCACTTTGAGGGAGGTGCAGCTGGGGGGACTGGGAGCCCAGAACAGGCAGCCGGCACTCCAAAGGAGCTTCTCAAAAGGCTTCTTATGACCTGTTGTCGGTTTCTGTCAGCGACATGAGCTACACAGACGGGAGTCTGTCTCTGCCCCCGCCCCCCACTGCCCTTGCCAGTCTGTTTGGAGAAATAATGGGCTGACCTTCAAACACTGTAAAATACCCATTGCCACACTGTTAGGGTAACTCAATACCTCCACTATCTGCATGAGTGTGTGTGTGGGTTTGCGTAGATCACATTTGAGGACCAAAATGTCCCCAAAGTGCAGTAAAACCTGAAACTTCCTTAATTTTGGGGACACTTCTTCAGGTCCCCATTTGGATAACCTCAATTTTATAAAGTTAAAATGCCAAAGGTCTTGTATTTTATTAGGTTACTTATGGTTAAGGTTAAGGTTGGGTAGAGGTTAAGGGTGTCATGATTGGGATTAGGGTTTTTCCCATAGAAAGAAATGGAAGGTCCCCATTTAGATAGGTACACTAACGTGTGTGTGTGTGTGTGTGTGTGTGCGTGCAACTGAAAGGGGCCCAGTGTAGTGTCGGTTTGCATGAGTGTGTGTCCCTGTGAGTGTGTATTACGTTGTATATGTAGATAGCTTTAATGGTGAACGTGTAACCCTTTTTGTTGCAGATGTGTAAACTTTGTGCTTTGTTGTAATTGTGTTTGTTTAAAGAGATTTGTCCGTTACCTAGATAACTTGTCGGATATAAGATACCCAAATTTAAATGGACTTTACCTAAACCTTTTGTTGTTTTTGTGTAAACTATGAGAGTATTGTGACTGTGTGTAAGTAGAAGACTGGTTGCTCACCGTTTCCTGCATCCCGTCCCCTGGTCCAGTTGCCTCATGTTGCCCGGGGACCCCAGGGTGGTCCGATTACAGTGAAGAATCTCAGGGTCTGCAAAGCCCAGCACCTGAACTTTTATAAACAACTTTAAGTCTAGTAGATAGAGGACAAATAAATCCCCTCGGGCTGTTACACTGCTGACATTAGCAGCTGAGATCAGCTCAGCCTGCAGTTTTTGTACTACGGTCTACCTGTTCCGAAGCCAGTTTGTCCGGTATCCTGAAAGCCCCTCCTGTTCGTTGCCCTGCCCTGTGTGTGTAATGGGGTTTAGGCTGCTCCCAGCTGACAAACCTTTGTCCTGGGAGGTTTTGAAGAGGCAGTAACCCCCCCCGCACCCCTTCATAGCCAATCAGTGCACCTGCTGCTTAGGCTCCCCCCACCCCCTCCCCTGTCGCCCCCCACCCCTACGGGAGCCTCATGTAGTGTGTGATATTGAGACACAGGATGGCTCTGTTTCCCTAGGGTGGCGATGCAGGGCTCAGCTGAAGACGCCCCATCTGGACCCATCCATCTACACACCACCACTGGCTCTCCTGCCCTCAGAGTAGCTTAGGCCCTCCAATGACTTGACCAGATCCTGCAGGAAACATGATGTGTGTTAGATGAACCTTCACAATAAATTAGCCAAAACTGTCAATCAGTCAAGGTAAAGTACTCCTGCGTGTGACAGACACTGGTACCTTTCAAGGTGAAATGTTGTGAAAATGATGCAAAAATGATGTAGGAATGTTATGTCTGAGCTTGGGACACTCCCCGGGTTATCTGACGCCCCACTTTAGCAGAATACATCACTCCTGTAATTAAAAGAATGAAGAACCCCCCCCCCCAAGGGAGATAAATGATTTAAACGTTTCCCCCAGACGCTGGCCACTGTGTCCTGCCCCTCAGGCCTTTGCATGCAAACCAGCTGCTGCCCTCTGCTTCATCAATAGCAGTGCCCGTTTCCATGGCGATGTGCCCCAGAGTTAGTGACACAGAATAATGGTGATACCCAATGCAGCGCATCACTTGGGAGTGACCCTGGAGACCCCAGTCTGAGCATCATTCCTTCCAGGTTTTCACATGACTCTCATGATGGGCATGTGTCCAATTAATATACACACCTAATTAATGTCTAGGTTTTGATAACGTGCAATTATTTGATTTTTCATTAGATTAGATGAGATTTGATTCAAGTTTATTGTCATTGCACAAAGTATAAGAACTCAGTGAAATACATTTCGGCATCTAATCCAAAAGTCCAAAATAGTGCGAAAGTGCTCAACAAAACAGCTGTATGGTATATTCATGTGATACATAAATAGTTAGCAAATGCACATCTATAAACTAATTGACATGGTATATTCATCGTATGGTATAAATAATGGGTATACAATCATATGTGCATTTTAGAATACTATTCAGTACTGTATGCAGTGATGGTACTTAAATTTCAGAAGAGAAAGAGATGCATGCACAGAATCTGAACCACTGTATCTACATAGAGGGCCTAAACAAACGAGAGTCTGTATTGTGGGGGTGTGTCACTGATTGCTGCTGTATACTGATATCGGTGATATGTGAGTGTGTTCTTACCTCAGCGACAGCTGCACTGTGGAGCAGGAAGTCGCCTGTGTGCGTCGGGTACAGTGCTGGTGGCGGGGGCTCTGCTGTGTAAACCCACACCATGTCCAGGGGGGCTGAAACTGTTTTCAAAAGCCAGGTTAAGAAGGAGAGGAGACAACAACCAGCCCTACAAAGTTTTACCTCCTGGGGGAGAACAATTAAGCGTCCCAGTGCTATTTGGAGAATCCAAACTCATAGAGGGATGTGACTGCAATAACAGAGAGTATATTTAATATACTAACATCTCTAATACAGGCAGCTCTCAGTTACGTAAAACCGAAATCTGAGATGCATAGAGTTTACGGACATATGTCTGAGAGTACATTTACGGTGAATTTATCTTTGTCTTTTCATTTATTTTATGTGTGTTCTTTAGTATGTATTACTAATATATTTTTGGCTGATGTGTTTTTGCTAGAAGGTACCAATGGAGGTAAAATCCTGCTTACATAACATATGACTTATGTAAGGGTTTTTGGATCGGATTACTTACGTCAGTTGAGAACTGCATGTAATTAAATTCATAGGTCAGAATGCTACTAAGGGAAAGGAACTGTAACCTGTTGACTGTAACCTCACAGAACAAGAAGAACCTTAAACGTAAAAGTACACTGGAGTGATAGAAGGCAAGGAGTCTTTGTTACACCTGTTGTGTAAAGAAGAGGGCTTAGACTGGAGGCCATCTATATGGGGCTTTTACAGTGCTGCTTCGTTCAGAGCAGGTATCTGGGTGCGGGCCCAGGGCCCTCACAGTGTTGGCAGCTCCTTACCCGGACGTGGGAGGAGATCCAGCGCCACCTGGATGAGTTTTGCCGTCAGCGCACCGGTGGTCAGATCAGCGGGGTGCAGGCCGGAGCTTCTGCTGTACATGCATGCGGCCAGATCCCAGAGAGAGATAGAGCGAGAGGAACAGGTGGGCAGCGAAGTCAGCTGATGGACAGGCACCAGTAGGAGAACCAGGGGCATTATTTTGGAGCTAAACTCACATCTGTCCCCACACACGTCAAGTCTGCCTGTAGTTTCTTTCTAACAAAGACCTTATTGTTCTTATACTAAAAAGAAAATGAACAGCCTCTGGGAATCATAGGATTAGGGTTTGCTATTGTTCGTCTCAAAAGGCTCTCTATGGTGTGTGTAATGTACCAAGGGAGGTATTAGCAGGTGGGATTATAGTCGGTGCTTGTAGGACATGTGAGTGACAGGAAGGCGGCCCTACAGTGTGCTGGTGATGCTTAGGATGTGTTTATTTCTCGTCTTACTCTGACAGTGGCAGCGCCTCCATCAACATCTCCTCCCACTGGTAATCCCAGGGACTCGGGATCAGAGTCAATGGCGTCGGTCCGTCCTGGTTCCACGGGTCTGTCGGGTCTTCCCCGGCCTGGCACGCAGATAGAACCACGGGGTGTTCACAGGGAAGATGAGCGGCCAGTGTGCGGAGTTGAGAGTAAGGTGATGGGGTGGCGTCAGCCCCGCCTGACACGAGAATCTGGGCCAATGGGAGGTTTTGAGAACATTATGGGGGTATAAGCACTGAACACAGCCTTCATTGTCATTGTGGTAGAAAAAACAAATGGAGTATCACATTCCACTACCCTGCAGATAATTACGTATCGTCCGATGCTGGTGTGTTTAGGTAAAGACATAAAAAGCTTTCAGCGGCATCTGTGATTGGTCTGTGGCTGGAGGCCAAGTGGTGGTGATTATTATGGGATGTCAGACTGTCCGGCTGGGCCTGGGAATAAGGCAGGGCTTTGGATTGGACTCAGAGGCGGGGCCTGTTGTTAGGGGTAACAGAGAGCTGCCTCCCCTCTTCTACTTCCCTCCTGCCAGAACCCCCCCAACAGCAAATCAACCCAAATCACTGTATGACTTCAATGTATATTATATACGAGATCAATACAAACAGATTTATACTTCCTGGTCATTCCCAAAACACTGACAGTCCAGGAAGAAAGCAGTCGTGCAATGGAGAAGGGGACCTATATGAAGCCACCCATCCCCCGAGAGCGACACTGCAGCTCTGATGCAGTCTTGGTCCCTTGAGGGAGGAGCTTAGGCAGCTATATTGCTAGCATACTGCCTTTATCAATGTGGTACCCTAACTCCTATTAACTATGCTGTTAACTTTCTGAGTGTTAATATACAGATGAATTAGCAGTGAGCACTTTGGGGCTGGTGTTATAGAGAATGCCTGCATGTAGCATCATGTTACAGGCTGATCTCAGGGCTCATTGGCTCACATCCACTTGTATTTTTGTGAAGCAGACTTTCTGAGAGCCCCCCCACCCAGACTGGTCCCCGGCCCCTGGCCCCCTCACCCATGTCAGGCCGTTCTGCTTGCTGTTGATAAGGAGTTTGTCATTCTCCTCACTCTGTAGCCTCTCTTCGTCTCCCTGGGAAGGCTCCTTACGCTCCTGCCTGCAGTCTGCCACCTCCTCCTCTGTGCCCTTGGAAACAGCCCCAATGAGGCCCCCGCCACACCCACTCATGCTGGGGGTGGGGGGGTCCTGGCGATGGAGCAAGCACAGAGACTGCCATGAAAGCCGTAGCTGCCACAAGCTGCGGGCACCATCGCACCCTTCTGTCTTTATCCTTTCTGGCTTCTCGCAGGCGCCGTGCACCGCTCCTCCTGCACCGACCTCCGGGGGGCAGCGTTCCCAAAGACCAACATGGGTGTAGGGAAAGGTGAGGATTCCCCTTCCTCTCGCTGTAGAAGCGCTAAGCTGCCTGGTGACTGCGACAGGAACCTACGCGGCATGTCGGGGTGATTCAGACAAAGCGCCTCCCAGAGACAGTAGCAGGAACGGCCCCTGCTTTCATACTGGGAATATGCCCTCTAACATACTGGGCAACTGCACGTCAATGATAACATCCCAGCAACAGGGTTGCTTATTTTACAATAAAAGTCTGATTAAAAGTCCTTTAATCAGACATAATTAAAGGAAGTAGAGGCATGTCATTGAGAGCTTTTAATTTTACATACCTTAAGTTGATTAGTTTTATTTTCTGCAGTTGTTAAATATCCTCAGTCCAGTTTGTGTTGAGTAAGTCCTGTGTCAGTTTCTTTGTAACGGATGCTCTGGTCTGCTGCTCTCTTAAGTTCCCTGAAGCCGTTTGTCGACATTGCGAACGGTCAGCACGCTGTTCCTTACTCACCTGCAGTGCAAGCCTTTCATGCAAAGCAGGCTGCTTCGTGTTTATGTTACGTTACCATGGAAACAGTCCGTGGAGTAGTCTGGCTGCCCAGTGCATTCTGGTCGATCTCAAAGACGCAAAAAAGAAAAAACAGCTAAGATTACCGTTTTGTACTTGAAGTAGTTTTGTAATTGCTTACATGTACTATTACATTTAATTATAATGTTTTATATAGTTCAAACCCAATGGAGCACTTTCTAACATTACCATGTTGATTTCGGATGGTTTATTTAGTTGCGTTCCTGCTGCTGAACATTTTTCGTTAAGTAGTATAGTTATTATAGCATTTTGTCAGTGAACTAAAATTTTCTCTTTAAATACGGTTTTGTAACGAAATAAAAATTTAACATGACCAAATCTGACCTTATATAACTGTGTACTTTATGCATGGAGTATCCTTCAAAAGAAACAGATTGACTTTGTACAGCGGTGGCTTTATTGTTCCTGTCCGGCCACCCGCTTCAGCATCTTATAAAGAAAGAACACGTTTATTATTTAATATTTAATGTAGTGACTGTTTTGGGTCAAACGCGTGGTCTCCGTGGTGCTAAACTGCGCGGCTCATACTACATGCGATGACAAACACCGCCGTCCCGCAGGAGCTTAATCGGGAGGCTCTGCTCTCCATTAGACTTCAGCTGGTCCATGGAGGAGAGTCTTTTCTCGGGGGGGTTTCAGAAGGGAGCTTGCTGTCCGATGGGGACTAGGGGGATTTCCGAAATAACACACGTTTTATCATACGGTGAACTTGAGATGTGCTATATAACCATGCATTGCTAAACTCATCGTTCATCTACACCATCAAACACCTACTCACACCAGTAACAGCGACACACTGATAGTGAATGCCCGAATGATGCGTTTGCTTTTGTTTAGTAGTACTACTACTTTATTTTGCAGTTTTATTACAACTACCTCTTAATTGCATTTAACAGAATTGTTATAATATAGAATTGTTATAATATAAACAATACTTATCCCTCTGCAGAAATCTCGAGATACAGACCATATAAGAACAGCGTTATCGGTAACGTTGTACAAAATGTAATATTAAATGTATTATCGTAGTAACATTTAATTGGATTTTAAAACCAGGAAAATAGTACAATTGAATTATGTCTAATCAATCACGCACTTCATTGTTCAGATAATATACGCCAATAAAGCAAATAAATTAATAATTATAATTGCTTCTGAAATGCATTGTTGTTTTAATTGGCAAAAATACAGACTAAAAATAAGCGAGACGCTTTATTTTCGCTTTCTTGTCACTTCAAAAACACCTCTGAATAATCAATCAAAATTTTAATTTGATTCAACGTAAAGCGAGTTATAGCCGGAATTGATTTGATGGCGCCGTCATGCCTAATTAGGCAGGAGTGGAGCTGAAACTGCACGTAAAGCGTCCTTAGGGAACAGCCGTGAAAGCCGCTTGTTCTGCGAACTTTAAGTGGATTTCATTAGTTACCGTGTTGTCTAGTCTACTGACTTGGGGAAACAGCCATGCGGCACAATACATGCACTTTACGTCATGATATGCGTCGGTTACAATGTATTTTTAATAACGCGGTATAAATACATTGATGGCTACTTTATAGATTGTGAAATATAATGTAACATTTAATTCATTGGCGTCATTTGCATTACTGTATATTGTTACTGACGTGTATTGGCACGGTACCGTGTTAAAATATATCCTCCTGAGACCCAAGGAAAAAAGTGTCCTTAAATTTTAGGTTATTTGTCTTTGGAGGAAATAAGACATCTTACAATTTAGATTTTTTCAAATTTATTTTTATTTTTAATTTCACAGCATGCTCTCTTTAGTGTACAACAGGAATAAATACGTTTTCTTACATCAGTGAAAAGATAGATGCAAAAACATAATGTCCACTAAAATGGACATAAATGAATGGGTGGGGTCTCAGGAGGTTAAAAAATATGTTTCTGGTTGTATTAAATGTAAAACTTAATTACTTAAATGAAATAAACCAGTAATTTAAGTTGTAAAACCATGCAGCGCTAAGAAAGGCCATGTTTGAGGGTAAGCCTTTATGTCTCATCCCTTCATTCAAAAACTGAAACCTATTTATGCTCTTGGCACGGCTGGGGTGAGTTAACTCCTGCAAACGAATCGAATGATGTTTGGTGCAGATCTCTAATACAGGAGTATCAAACAGTATGTATGATATAAAGGATGCGATTCCCTTTTATTGCAAAACGGGAATCGAAATGGAAAAGCTGGAGGGGGTGTGTGAGAAAGGAGTGTCCCATTCCAGTCACAGCAGACCGACTGCAACCTGACCATAGTGTAATCTGTGTGATCACAGCGTGACCGCATCCCGACAGCAAGCGGCTATAGCCCATGGAGCCACCTGTAAGTTGGGCTTCAATTTACTACTTCGAATTTCCGATGATCCGCTTTCTATCGTCATCAACTGATGCGACATTATTTACACCAGTCTCTGCAATTAAGAATTAGGCAAGCCCCAATTAAGACGATTGTTCATTGTCCTTTAATTTTCTGTTTGGTTTTTTTAATTGTGATTGTAATTGGTTGTTATTTATGCGAGTTTATAATGGGTATAATTTACATTAATTTTTTGATTGCTTTTTGGGATATATCCGCTCCATCTTGATTTGAGTTTCTTTGCCGTCTTGATTGTGATAAGCTAGTCTGCGCTGTGTATCTTGATACAAGGGTAACTGCATCCCCTGTACCGAAGAGTGTACTACCTTCTGCCTATATAAATGTTATGTAGGCCTACTGATCGATCTCTTAATAATTATTCAGTATAGACATAGTACAGTAATGCTCCGGGGCATCTGTAGTGTATGTATTCCTTGCTTAGCTAATATGTGTGAATGTTTTAAGGGCTTATTGTTCGGGGAACTGGCTAAACTGTATTCCACCAGATGGCACTGTTTCGCTTTGCGTTTAAATAGAGCCCTGAGTTAAGTGGCTTGGAACAATGTAGCCTCATTTTGCTGTAGTGAGTGCAGCTGTCCTAACCCGACGGAGAGCCACGTGTGCAGATACTGAAAAATAATTTTAAAAATCAGGGTATTCACTTGTGTCCGCCTGCATGTAAAAGGTGCAAGTCAATGACCTAAAACTCGCAGGTTGGGGTCCTAAAAATAGCCCCCATACTTGACTGAAGTGCATAACCTAAAGCGCTTCGGTGAAATACTCACTGCAAGTGAGTCAAGGTTTAAAGTTTTTAAACTCTGCAAGTCTCTTTGGGTAATAAGCGCCAGGAAAATAATTCAGCAGTATTCCTGTGGTCTCAGCAGATATTTGGCAGGCGTGTGAAACTCTGCCGCTCGTGTCAAGCGAGAGAACGGCGGCGTCCTGTCGCAAAGTGACGACGGTAGCAGCTCCATGACAGCTCCGTCCTGCCGGCGCCCCGCTGCTGCTGCTTCTGCTGCTGCTGCTGTTTGCTTTGGCTGCAACCCCGCCACACTTAGCTGCGTTACTGCAGCTTCTCTGCGTCGTTTCTCGGGGAAATGTAAGTGGCAGCGGCAGGTTTACCAGCACTTGAAACACGCAATTCTGCGGTGCTCCCGCACTGCCCCCCATTAACCTGTCCATGCTTTTAAAACACAATGGTCTTTCCGGGAGGGGGGGTGTCTTGTACCATACACGACCTCAAAATGCAGACTCCAGGTCTAAAGGAATGACACACTTTTCTTTATCAGAGTAAGTTTAACCCTTTGGTGCTCCCTCCTTTATCAGAAATATACTGGTCTAACCCCGACACTGCATGATCGTCCACCCCCACTGCAAATACATATCTCCATGTGTAAAAATAGCCTCGATTTCTCTCGATTTTAATACGAGTCCTGCGCTCCGGGTGTAATAACATGACTGTTTCTGCACTGCAATCCCCATGAACTTCACGCATGTTTTTAAAGGTAATACTGCAACTGTAATAAGGGCATGAAAATGAAACACGGCCTCCCCCTTCCCTCCGCATCTCCTGATGGGGGGGTGGAACGTGACTGAGGGCTTTAATAACGCGGCAGAACTCAGGGACAGCTGAAATTAATTTGCCAAGGACAACCAGCGCTGGATTGGGACGGAACGTCTGACGTTGTTGGGTTCTACACTGGTCTGAGTGTAGTTCCCTAGGAGCGATGTGTTGTGGTTATTCTCGCTGATGCATGCTGGGTCACTGTGAGCTCACCAATCTGCTATAGGATTCAGTTATTCTCACTGTTGCATGCCAGAATCTGAGGCCTCAGAACATAGCTTACAGCTCAGTTCTGTCTCATTATCAAGAGTTCATACTCACCTGGACATGTGACCTGTGTTCGCGTGTTTACCGATCAGAGGGGGAAAGTTTCTGCTTCACTAAAGAAGCCAGAAACATCTGAACTGGGTCGCGCGAAACTGGCGGTGTCTCACAGACATATGTCTCACGCCAGCCTCTTGTGGCCAACATGATTGGTCGAGGGGCACCCAGGAGGCGGGCTTGGCGCTTTCCAAAAGGCAGGGGCACCCGAACCATTACATTACTGCATTATTTAGCCAGTGGCTAAGCACTGTTAGCCAAACAGGCTAGCACAGTTGGCCTGGTTTCCTTCACCTAGTTATACAGCTGGATATTTTACTGAAAGTTGTAAAAACTTTGGCCGAGTCTTCCTGCTGCTGTGTTTACCTATTAAGCACATTCCTGGAGTTTAATTACTGTTTGGCAAATTTGTTAAACTTATTGTACTAATTGAGCTATCAAAATGTGTTTTTGTGTGGTTCAGGGTACGCTAATCAGATGTGTCTCTAGTGCACTTAGCTAAACATTAACAGTCCTTCAACTAGTGCATCAGCTGTAGTTCGGAAACCCCAGATGCCCCACAGCTGGGTTTGTGCTCCAGCAGTGAACACAAGCCCTCTGCTGTTGACAGCTGACATCTCCCAGCACCGCGGCCTGTACGCGGCCAATGTTTTATTCATTGCACGCTAACGGCTAATGTTATTGGCTGAGAGG